TGGAGAATGTGTAGGTTACCAATGTATGTCAAGACCTTCTGTAATCAAACCTCTGATAGTCGCATATTAGACAACTACTAATGTTAAACTCTTAATTCTTTTGCATGTTGGTTTTGTAAGGGTAAGTTCTACTCATGAGCTCGTACGAACTAAATTCAACTATTAAAAGAACAGGTTTAGAATGTATTATAGGTCCTATATTCAGTTCGCTTCTCTTCCAATATCGCTTTGCTTGTATTTTTTATTAATTTTTTAAATGTAACAAGAGGAGCACAAATGGATACTTTCACTTCTGTCCCAACTGAGACAAATAGGCCTGTTAAATTGGGTTTGTAAATCCTTGCAATAATTTAAAGGATTAGAGAGAAGGGAGGCCCTCTTCAAAAATCACTCCAATTGATGCCCTTGTCATAGGGCCAGCCAAGGCTTTACATTTGATGATTTGAAACCCAATTTTTTGTTGGGCAACTGAATGAGTTGGACCTTCTTCGTGGGTTGTGTGTAGAACTATACAAACTTGATCGTTGAATTGAAAATATCTAGTTCGTAAATTACAATTTCATAATCCCCTTCTAAAACAAAGCATCCAGTTCAAACTCCAACCACAATTTTTTTATTTTTTATTTTTGGTTGAACCTCAATTGTCTCTCCCTTTGCTTATAATTGAAAAGCTTAAAAGAATTTTAGTTTTCTATTTATTGTCAATTTGTTTTGGATTGAATGCTCACATTTTATTATAGAATATGCTAAAAGTGTTGAGCGCAACAATCCATGTGCTTTCAGTCAAACAAAGTATATGAGAATTTTCAGATATTTCAGATATGCATTCTTCTCCAATATGGAGGTATTTATAAAGAAGTATAAAGATGTGTTAACCCTATGATAAGAAATAAATCTAAATTATAGTATGACTAAATAAACTGGAAAGTAACCAAAATCTTAACTTAATAAGGACTTGCCAACACTTTCACGTCACCTAACGTGTGTGTTGTTCGTGTGATAGGCTTAAATGATGCCATGTGTGGGGGTGTGTGATAGTCTGAATTCTGATATCCCCTTGACTAATAGTTTAAAAGATCATCTTGAGCATACATTCATTGCCAATTGGTTTTTGTTTGAATGCTCACATTCTAATATTTGGTACTCTCTTATAATGTTATTTTCACAACATAGAATTTCTCACCGCATCTTGAGCATCTGCACTCATTGCCAATTAATTTTTTAATTGAATACTCACATTGTAATATTTGGTACTCTCTGATAATGTTACTCTCTCTCTCTCTCTCTCTCTCTCCTCTCTCTCTCTCTCTCTCTCTCTCACATAGTTCAATTCCTTTCTTGCAACACATTTTGAGAAATCCAGGTCCAACTTGTAGAAAAAATATGATCTATATCATCGATGAATTGTGAGCGATTTACATGATTCCCATTGGTTGGTGCTCAAGACTGGCACATCTATCTACTTATCCTCAAACAGACAATGGCCGGAATAAAATAATATATTTTATATGGCTTTACATAATTTGGTTTCTCTCTTCGACAGAGATTCCTCCTTTTATATGTATATATTATGCTTTCCCTAGCCATTTCATGGACCAGGTGTGAGTGGTGGATATATATATATGAGTTATTGTAAAGTCACAGTTTCCCCTACTTTGATATCAAGCTTTTGAAACACCTTCCATCTTTTTAGGAGGACCACATGCAGTAGGAAAAGGGCCTCTGTGATAGGCAGTTCGGCCATGAATGGAACCTGTCGAAGAGTCGTCTTAGACGCTGAATCTCCATATATCACAGATTGGTGTTGAAGAGGACCACTTCTAACTATAAAGTTAAAGGGACCCCAAGATCTGTTGCCTTTTTCAACAAATAATCACCCGCCAGACTAGTCCCAATCAATTTCAAATAATATACCAAGAACTTAGGCAACTTGGTTGTTAATGGCAGCTTTCTCTTTACGGAATTAGTTTCATGAAATTTTTTTGTGGGGTTGTTATTGTTACGTATAAGTATGACACATAATATCTTTTAACTGGATTGTTCTGCCACTCAACAATATTATGTGACAGTATATATCAACCATATTTAAATTTCGATGATTTAATTGACTGATAAATAGTAATGAATGTGTATGTACTTTAACTCACTGATTTCTGATTTCAAGAAAAACTCATCATAGCTAGCATAATGTGCAATGCAATTCATTCTCCACAACGTCATGCTCTTTGAGGCACGTACTAATAATCCCTCCCTCTGTAGTCTCATTTCTCGAAAAAAGTATATATCTAGAGTGATTCGCTTATTTTATGCATGCATACCCCAGTCTTGTTTTGATTCCGAAAGTATTAATAAACACCGAAATAACCTAATTGGGAGAGATTTCCATTCTTTCCATTCCCATTTCAGGTTAGTAGACTGTTACCAACTGATTTGAGAGTAGCATTCAAGATCTTAGGTTTCTCCACCTGTTGTCAACTGAGTTGACCAAATAGACAACCAAGCCCCAAGAGTTTGACTTGGAGATCGGAAAGGAAGAAATGAATAGGTTTTGATATGTGCTTCCTAGAGCTATCGTTTTTCCTTACCTTCTTTCTCTTATTTGAAGTATACCTGCAAAAAGTTTCTGCTAATATTTTGGATCACCCTACGACCTAAATGATAATGTTACAATTGTGACAGATTAGAACAGGTATATTCTAAGTGATAATGCGGGCACTACTACTACACATCTCTTTATCTTATCACTAGAGGTTACTGGACCACTGCTGCACATCTTTTTGCTACTTCACCTGAGTTTCTACCATCAAATAAAAGTGAAAAAAATAATAATAATAACTGGCCAATGATTCACCGCTTAGAATGGAACGTTAGGCTCCTACGTACCAATCAACTGACACAAAACACCCAATCCTATCCTATCCAAGTAGAAAACTTGCAGCACCTGTTGACTACCTCCTTAATAATGCATTTTACATGCAGAAACAAACAACTTCATTTTAATATCTATAAGATACAGTAGGGTACGGGGCTCAGGTAGCCAGCTAGAAGTTTTGGAATGTTGTTCAGAAGAAAGATCCGAAAACCTAATTCCAAAGATCTGAAAATTTAATACAAACAAGTAACATCTCTGCTCTGCATGAAACCCGATTACCCAAGTACATCCTCTTTGGCTCTTTGCTTTGTCCTAAAGATCCTGTCAGTGATCACCAATTCACCCTCACCTTGTGATCAATCATATCCTCAGCAGTACACCCCTTTGACATCAATACAGGGTTTTATTTGATATCTACCACAAAACAAAACAAAACAAAACAAAACAAAAAAACTTGAGAGAGAGAGAGTACATCCATTTTCTTGATGGGTTATTACTTATGAGGGGAAAAAAATAGTAGATTCAGTAATTATCTCAGCCACAATTAAATCCACTATAAGAAATCTAAATATTAGATATGGATGAATTTGTGGATCAATATATATTACTCACAGTACGTAATTACTAGCCAAGCAACTATGAGTAAATGATAAGTTTTAGTACATATTTAAACGTTTTCGTTAATAATATTTATTATCTTTTTATTTATTATTTTAGAATGTCAATTTTATTTAATTGAACTAAAAATGTAGTTTTTCGTAATTTAATTATATGTAAACTGCACTTTTGACTTAAATTCAAGCACTTTGATTCACAAGGAAAAGTTTGAATTTATTATTAAAATGTGAGTATTCCATTCAAAGCCAATTGCAAAATAATACAGATCTCTATATTTTTTTACGCTTTTAATATAAACTTTCATCATTTCGAAGGAAAAGTTTGAATTTATTATTAAAATGTGAGTATTCCATTCAAAGCCAATTGCAAAATAATACAAATCTCTATATTTTTTTACGCTTTTAATATAAACTTTGATAATTTCGATGTAGAATACTCTCAACAATTCTAACAAATATTTGAATTTACAACTTTTAAACTCTTGATGTAATGATATTTATATTTTACAATTCCTTATGCCCGTTCTTTTTACCACTTAAATCTTATGTGGGTTTGAAAATAGGAAAAGGGCTAAGAGAAAACCATGAGGTGAAAGATGCATACCAGAGTCTGATCGGAGAGTGAAGGTGACCATTAATGATCCGAAAGTTTTTCATCTTTCAATACCTTTTTTTTCTTTCGAGTACTTTTGTTGTCTAATGTGCTCCACTCTGACCTTTTGTGCTCTCTCTCTCTCTCTCTCTCTCTCTCTCTCTCTCTCTCTCTCTCATCAATTTAACCTTTGCAAGAAGCTTTTACTCATTTATTATATCCATCAATCACGTACATCCACACCTTAAGCAAATATCCGAATAAGACATTTCACCTATTTACCAATAAAAATTCTTTACCTTAAGCTTTTACTCATTTATTATATCCATCAATCACGTACAAACTGCCTTATCTGTTTTTTTTAAGCACACTTGACATTCGATGAGGGGGGTGTTTACACAAATACTTATTAAGTGTTTAGGAGTTTTGAACTTTTGCTCACATGAGTAGAAGGGGAAAACTCAACCAACTAAGCTATACTCATTGTCACTAACTACGTTTTCTTTTGTTTTTAACTACTTGGTCAGACCAAAAAATTTGACCTTTCAAATTCCTCTCTCTCTCTCTCTCTCTCTCTCTCTCTCTCTCTCTCTCTGCGCTTGTACCTTGAGATTCTTCAGTTGTGGCTCCAAAAGGAGACGAATCATGCCTCATTTCTCATTTTGGCTTTATATATTCGCCAACTGGCTTATTGCTCCACTCCATCGCTCTCCACTACTACTATTTATAGGCAAAGCACCTAGCCATTTCTTGCACATATACCATCCCTAGCTTCCCCTCTAACCCTGCAAGCTACACATATGCACCTTTCTTCTTCCCCTTTTTCTTTATTTACACAGCCCTTGAAACCTTTCCATTAGTTGTAGAATTTGCGTAAATTAGTATTTAACTAGCTTTAGGTTGTTTGATTAACTCATTAATGGCGTCCCTCCAAAAACATAACTCCTCCTGGACACCAAAACAGAACAAACTCTTTGAAAGAGCACTGGCCTTGTACGACAAGGATACCCCGGAACGGTGGCAAAATGTGGCCAAGGCTGTTGGTGGGAATAAAACAGCTGAGGAAGTCAAGAGGCACTATGACATCCTTCTAGAAGACCTCAGGCAAATTGAGTCCGGCCACGTTCCTATTCCCAACTACAAGTCCTCCTATGGCGGTGGTGGTGGTGGCCGCGGCAGCAGCAGCAACATTAATGTCGATGAAGAAGAAAGGTACATCACATCCTCTATCTTTTTCTTGTACATGCAAGATGGAGTGGTTGGAACAATGATGCCCTAACAAATTTTAAAATCATTTTTTATTTTGTCAAGTGAATTTGACTGAAACTATTTTTGTTTTCGAAGTTTACACATTCTTAATAGCATGCTTAATTTTATTCAGTATGATATTTGAACCGTCTTTCTGACCACATTTAGCTGATGGCATGATGCATTTACACCATGCCGATAGGCCAAGCATTTGGATATTTCGGAGAGATTACTATTTGTTCTTATTTGTTTCGTATCATTTTACCTATTGTTACCTCCACCCATACCTTTGCCAACAACACATTTCTTGCTTGCTTTGCAGGCTTCTGAAGTATCTTAAATTGCAGTAAAGTCCAAGTCGATTGCCACCTTTTCATGAAAAGGTTGACTACATGTCTCCCTAAAATAAAATGTGCCTCTTTATATGTTCATCTCTCTCTCTTCTCTCTCTCTCTCTCTCTCCACAGCTCCACAGTGTAATTGATGTCAAAAAAAGAGGTTAATGAAAATCTGAGAGTTTGGGCTGGGTTGATGCTGAAATTATTTATTACTCTTATATTTTTGCCTTCCACTATGGGCTTTTGCTTGATATGCATATAGGCCGATTTATAATTAATTAGTTTGAGGCTTCTATAGATCCGATCATCCAGCCCATTTAAGGCTAGGTCCAGCTTCTATAAAGGGTATTCATGTCAATTCCGAGTTAAAATCAACATGTGTCGCCACACGACCAAATGATGGTATTCTTCTATGTTTCTCCAACGTATACCCGAAAAAAGCACTTTTCCATTTGTCAGTATGTGATTAGTCGATGATAACAAAACAGTAATATTTCTATTTTATACAAGTTTATCTACCCAATATAAAGTAAACATGTTACATTTTGTGTAGATTTATAACATCACATCGACATGCCACATTCGTCGCATCACTCAATAATTTCCTGCAACTCATTATTCTCAAATTAATTGAGCCTTATAGTATTCCCCATCCTCAACAAGCAGCTTCGATCCCAAAGAGAGCAGAGAAAATAGTTTCCTATTCATGCAATACAGTTCATATTGATACCTTCCTACCAGCGAGGTTGGTCTTGAAATTTTGAGGGCCTTGTGTGAAATTTTAATTGGAGCTCTCACATAATCTAATATGAAAATACTATTTAAAAAAATGCCATTACTTAATATCATAAAAAAAAAATTTATAACTAAAATTCATCATCAATTACCATGTAATAACAATCACAAATCAAATTCATAAATTTTTTTAATATTTTCATTTGATAAATTCATAAATGTTTGATATAAAAAATTAAAAGTTCAAGAGAAAGAAGAAGGCATAAATTTTTGTTTTGGTTTTGTTTTAAGTGGAAGAAAATACTTTTTAATTTAATCATATAGATGTGATATATATTGTTAGTTAGTTTAGTTCCTCTTTTTTTTTTCTTCTTCTTTTTTTTCTCTGTGTTTTTTTTTTTTTTTTTTTTTTTTTTTTTTTTTAACTTTAACTATTTATTTTGTTGTTATAATAAAAAAAGAATGAAAATACGAATAGAATAACATCACTAAGACTAAAAGTTGAGTCTTGTACCAAGTATATGCACTAGAAACCATCTCCACCAAATACACTTTTGTGTCAATATGATACACGCTTGTGTATATATAAAGTTTTTATAATATTAATATATATATATAATATAAAGTTAAAAAAATTCAGAACCCTCAAAAATTGAAGGCCCAGTGACGCCACTTGCCCCATGCCAAGGCCACACCTGCCTACTATTTTAGATTTTAGGTACCCATGAATTTAGCAGCAGTCTCCAATAAATACCAAAACAACAATTACAAATTAACATAAGTCTTTATAAAAAAAAAAAAAAGTCTTGGTGCACATCTTCTGAAAAAGAAGCAAGAATTTCCTTGAGCAGCTTGTTGTAAACGAAGGGTCTTTCCATTTGAACAAGGTGGCCTGCCTCCTTTATAGACTGTAGTTTTGCGCCGCCTCCCAATTGCCTGTAAATATCAGGGTTTCAAATCACTATCACAAATTCAATTATTTCGGCCAGTTATTGTTTTGTATCGAAGTCAAGGTCAACGAATGTATTTGCCCATTCCACAAGGTAGAATAACATACATTCTTAGGTTCCTGGCTGTTTCCATGTTGAAAATTTTGTCATTCTCTCCCCACAAAAGATGCACTCTCTGCAAGAAAATGAATCATTAACCTATTAAAGAAATATGCTCGCTGAATTTGACCACCAAAAAATGACAGTTTTCGTTTATAATGCGTGTGAGAAACTCCTCTCCCCCCCCTTGTAGTTTATCGCTTGTATCTTTTAATTTTTTTTTAAAGGGTGAACACTAACAAGTAACATAGTATGTACATGTATGCTGACAAATAATTTAAACAAATTTGGCGAACCTGATATCAAAGAAAATTGATGCAACATTTAAGGCAATACCCATGTTTGTCAAAACTAGAAGGAAATTGATGCACTAAATTTGAGCCTAGCTACATATGTTTGTCATGCTATAGCTTCGAGACTGTCGTCCCCCCCACACGAAGTACAAAAAACTGTTATGATCATAATTGAAGAACACTGTACAAAACTTCAAGTTATTTGGAGACAAGCTCAAGAACAACAACCTGTGGAAAATCAGCAATAGCAAAGTCCTTGTCATCAACTACCAATGCCTCTAGAAGTTCTTCCTTCTCCTTTCTGTTGCCAAACATAACCTGCAACCATTCATGGATCATTGAAATGTTTTAGACCACCAGACCATTTGCCCGAAAATAATTTTACTAATAAATGATTAATTAAAAGCTTTACCTCAAGGCAATCTTTGTAAATCCAATCAGGGAGATGAGGAAACTTGTAAGCAGCAATTTCAAACATATTTCTCACACCTTTGACCGTGTCAGGAAGCAAGTAATCAGGCCAGCATTTGAACCCAAGTCTCTCAAGAGAAGCATCACTGATGGATCTGGTCAAAGCCAAAACTGAACAAGTCGCCACAATGGACTGAACCAAATTTGGGTACAACTCAGCCATTTTGAACCCAACCATCCCACCATAGCTTAACCCCACCAAGGTGCACCTCTCTACCCCCATCTTCCTCAAACCCTTGGCAACACACTCGGCTTGAAACTCCGGTGACCTATCCAATTTATCTGTGATGGATCCCCCGAAGAAGAGAAAGTCCGGGGCATAAACGGCGTAGTTTTTGGCCAAAGATAGCACTTGAAGTTGCCATGTGAAAATACCATCCATTGCAAAGCCATGAAGGAACACCACGGCTGGCTTCGATTTCTTTGGTGTGTTTTCAATTTTGTTGGGGATATTACTGGAGACCCAGAAGTTCATGATCGTTCCTGGTTCTATTTCGACAGTTTGGGGTCTCACCCCAACTAGTTTCATAATTCCATGCAGAATAAACTTGTATACTGAAAAAATGCTCACCATCTCTCTCTCTCTCTCTCTCTCTCTCTCTCTCTCTCTCTCTCTCTCTCTCTCTCTCTCTCTCTCTCGTGCACACAAAGACAGACTAAACGCGGTGTTAACTTTATAAGACTTGTGGGCAGCTAGCATATGTGAATTATTTCCAAAATCTTTTGTTTATTTTAAAAGAACAACTGACAGATAATGTTTGGAGATATGATAGCAACGTGCATAGAGAATAGGACAGTGAGATATGATAGCAACATTAATGTAAAGATATAATCAATTCGTAAACCTTATTATATTATATATAAATAATTATGTTTGATTTTCAAAGCATGTGTTTTTGCTTGTAGAATGTCAACTGTGGGAACCAATTAAATCAAAACCCTAGGTCAAATAATTCCTTCTATTTGGGGATTATTTGATCTAATTTGGAATTACTCAACCTAATTGGGAGTTACTCAATTTAATTAGGGGTTACCCAATTAAATTGATAATTACCTAATTAAATTGAGATTTGATTTGATTCCTACCACAATTAGGGATTTGACTTACCCTAATAAATAAATCAAATCCCTAATTAATCAAATCAATGCCAAATCGGGGAGGAATGATTCCTTACCAACTACAGAATTATTCCTCTGAAACCCTAGCCTCCGAGACCACTATAAAAAGATGGCCACACACAAGGGTGTAGGTATGTCTAAATTCCTACTGAAACTCTACAGAAATTATTTCTCACAAACCCTAGCCACCATATTCTTTCTCTCTCTGACACAAGGCTCTGACCACCACACACGGCTCCGATCACCCGGTTTTCCTTGAAATACCCTACCTAACTTAGGCATCGGAGGGCCTTTAGCCAACAACCCTCGGGTGTGGTCCTTTTACCCCGATCTGTTTTGCAGGGAGAAAGAGAAGTGGAGAAGACGAAAGAATCTTAGACGAATATTCTAGTGGGATGAAATTTGCTCCCACAAATTGGTGCTTTCATTGAGAGCACGAGATATACTCAAAGCGTGCTCCAAATCCATCTTTGACACATTTTTTCAAACAACTATGGTTGATACCAGACGTACGAAGAGTAACGCCACCACAACGGGCCCATCTCATGGTTTCGTGGTGGAAACCTCAATGCAACCTCACGGAATCGTGGCTGTCGACGCCTTGCGGCCGTCTTCTAGTGCTTTGCAGCCGCCTTCAGCTGCTGCAATTGCAGAACAACTGCCACATGACCTCGGGACCTCCACAGCCTTGCAATCGCCAGCAATGATTATCGGAGCTGCTCTGCCTCGCTGTCCTACCATCGGACCACAGCAGCAGCCACACCACTCAATTACCAGACTTGCTGCACAGCCCTATGGCTACTCCGACGTTGTCCCAGTCTTGGAGCAGATCCATTCTCTCCCTCCTCTGCGATCACATTTGACATATGCACCCATGTACGTGTCTAATGGAGCCCTAGCCCATATTCCGTTAGGCCCGATGCACAACACTCCACTTGACCCGCGCAGTCAGGTAGACCTTAACTCACGGGTTGATCAACTCACATAGAAGGTCGATGATCAAAACAACCTGATTGGCCAGCTACTCAGGCAGATCAACTTGAATTAAGGCCTCAACCTTGGACCCCGTAACGAGGAAAGAAGGGCACACGAGCATGCTGGCGAGCAGTTCGAGAGGTCCCAGGCTGGTCAGACAAGGGCAAACCGGCACGGGAGAGAGCGAGATCGTGCAGACGAGACGCAGACAGCTGCGAGCCATACCCTGAGCCGTTCGAGGTTAGGTCCCATGACCAATGTGCTCGAGAGGCTAGGCCCACAGTCCAATGTTCGTGCCCGCTTAGGTCCACAAGGAGCTCGAGTTCTTGAGCGGTCGCGCGACGAGCACAACAATCAACGCCCACCAGCCCGCTCGAGGTCCAACACGCGGCGACAAGCTGTAGAGGGATCCTCCCAAACTCAACCTTCTCTCCTACCCCACGGGCAGGGTAACCAAGGGGATCGACCCTTGGGAGCTGGAGAAGAAGTTAGCCAATCACACTCAAGGCACTGAAGATGTCGACCTGAACGACCCTCCTTGCGACCAGAGGATGACGATCGACACCCACCAGCTCGTTCGAGGACCAACACGAGGCGACAAGTTTTCGAGGAATGCTCACAAGCTCAATCCCCTAATCTGCCCCACAGGCAAGGCACCCAAGAGGATCGACCCTTGGGAACCGAGGAAGAAGTTAGCCAGTCGCACTCGAGGCACCGAAGATGCCGGCACGGGACTCCAACCCTGAGAGCAGAGGATGTCGAGAAGCTAGTAAATGACCAACTCCGAGGTCTCCGACTTAAAGGAAGCACGGAGGAGGCCATGTGCAAGGAAATTGATCGAGTTGACTGCTCCCCCTTTACCGACGAGGTGGAACGAGCTCCGCATTTGAAACGGTTTACAACGCCATCCATCACTCCATTCAAGGGGGGCTCTAACCCTGAGAGCCATTTGAGGCACTTCAAGAGCGCCATGATCCTGTATAAGGCAAACGATGCCCTGATGTGCAAAGTGTTCGCAATGACTCTGCGAGGTGCAGCTCAGGATTGGTTCCACACTCTACCATCCGCGTCGATAGGCAACTTCAAGGAGTTCGCCATCATTTTCACAAAGGAGTATACCTCCTACAAGACGGTCAGAAAGCATGCGGACCACCTGTTCAACCTGCGCAAGAAGCCAGACGAGTCTCTACGAGACTACCTGAGACGGTTTAAGGCTGAGAAGGCTAACATCATAGGATGCAATGACCAAGTTGAATCCTCAGCTTTCAAGAAGGGCTTGCCAACTGAGCACAAGCTATACCGGAAGCTGGCCATAACTCCAAGTCAAACCTTAGCGGAAGTGTTCGCGACGGCAGAGCACTACGCACTTTGAGACGATGATCATATCGCTGCAAAGAAAGCCAGCAAGCAAGTTAACCACCCGACGAAGCAGGCAACCCAAAGGAGCAACAAGTTCGAGCAAAAAGCTCGGGATAAATGCAAATCGCGACCCCAAGAGGGAAGGTAAAAAACGGGGACCTTCACTGAATTCATTATACCAATCCACCATATCCTAGCTGAGGTGAAGGACAAGCCGTGGGTGAGGAGACCACCACCCATGAAGGGAGAACCCTCTAAAAGAGACACCAGTAAATACTGCGCATTCCACGGGGAGCACGGTCATTACACCAACAACTGCAACGCTTGAAAAAGGCACCTTGAGGAGCTGGTCAGAGAAGGCCATTGCACAGAGTTCGTTGCAAAGAAGGTCATCCAACATATTGAGGATCGTGATGCAGCTGCCAAGGAACCTCCCCAAAAGGTCATTCGAATCAACATCATTCTAGCCGACTCCCAATAGTCCGGGCTGACCACCAAGGAGCGCAAGAGAAAGATCGCTTAGGTAACTTATGTCTCCCAAGTCACAACGGGAATACCAGACATTGTGGATACGCCCATCATCGGCTTCCAGAAGAATGACTTGATCGGGCTTGACCTGCCACATATTGATGCCCTAGTCATCTGCATCCAAATTGAACAAGTTGTGATCGAGCGAGTTCATGTAGATAAAGGCAGCGCAGCCAACATCCTGCAACTATCTGTTATCCAACAGATGGGGTTCGAGCACAAGATTAGCAAACTTGCTAGATCGCTCACCGGCTTCAATGGGGCCACATCAATTACTATTGGAATGATCGACCTTGATGTCCACTCACCCCCAGTGGTCTACTCGCAAACCTTCATGGTCATCGACGAGGTTTCCCCCTACAACGGAATCTTGGGCCGACTGTGGATCAGCAAGATTGAGGCCATCACATCTACTCTACATCAGAAGATCTACTACCCCATCCCTGGGGTCGGGATCGGGCAGATCAACAGTGACCAAGCCATGGCAAGGAGATGCACAACCCAAGGGCTCAAGAAAAGTAAGCAGCTGCAGTTCACACCAGTAATACAAGCTGCCAACGAGGCAGGAAGCGCTCCTAGCAGACAAGCAAACCCGAAAGGGAAGGGAGTTGCTGCCTCACTATAGCAGTTAACGAGTCAGGATCAAGGTGAGGGAATCTGCCCGGAAGACTCTCCTGAAAAGGGTTGGAAGCCTGAGGATGACGTTGAGTTAGTACCCCCCTGATCCTGGCCGGCCAAACAAAGAGGCGCAGATCGGCTCGCGCTAGAATTCAAATAAGAAGGATCGAGATGAGGGAATCTGCCCGGAAGACTCCCTTGAAGAAGGTTGGAAGCCTGAGGAAAACATTGAGTTAGTACCCCCTGATCCTGATCAGCCAGACAAGAAAACGCAGATCGACTCGCACCAGAATCCAAACAAGAAGGATCAAGATGAAGGAATCCGCCCGGAAGGCTCCTTTGAAGAAGGTTGGAAGCCTGAGGAAGACGTTGAGTTAGTACCCCTCGATCCTGACCAGCCAGACAAGAAAGCGCGGATCGGCTCGCGCCTAAGCCCAGACGAGAAGATGAAGCTGACCATCTTCCTCCAAAACAACAAAGACATGTTCGCGTGGTCACCATCTGACATGCCCGGCATCGACCCTAACATCATCTGCCACCGGCTTCATGTCAACCCTGCTAGCAAGCCCGTGGTGCAGAAGAGTCGCAACTTTGCTCCCGAGCGGGTCGCGATCATTGAAGCCGAGATCAACAAGCTCCTAGTTGCCGTTTTCATTGAAGAGGTCTCCTACTCGGAATGGCTGGCCAACGTTGTTCTGGTGGCGAAACAAGAAAAGGGCAAATGGAGAGTATGCGTCGATTACACCGACCTCAACAAAGCATGCCCTAAAGACAACTTCCCATTGCCGAGAATCGACCAGCTCGTGGATTCAACTTCCGGCAATCAGCTGCTCATCTTCATGGATACCTACTCCGTCTACAATCAAATTATGATGTACGACGATGACAAGGTGAAGACCTCTTTCATCATTGAAAGAGGGACCTACTGCTACAAGGTTATGTCATTTGGCCTGAAGAACGCCGGAGCAACCTATCAAAGGCTAATGAATAAAATTTTCAAGGAGCAGATCGGCAGAACCATGGAGGTCTACGTGGACGATATGCTGGTCAAAGCCCCCAAGCGGGCAGACCACCTCAAAAACCTCACCGAGACGTTTAGCCTGCTCCGTCAATATTGCATGAAGCTGAATCCAAGTAAATGCATGTTTGGTGTATCGTCTGGCCGGTTCCTGGGGTACTTAGTGATGCAACGAGATATTGAGACACACCCTCGCCAAATCAAAGTCATTCTTGAGATGAAGTCACCTTCCACAGTGAAGGAAATACAAAGCCTGACGGGCATAGCAGTGGCCCTCAACAGATTCCTCTCAAAATCTACCAACAAGTGCAGACCATTCTTCAAAGCTTTGAAAAAGGGGCAAAAATACAAGTGGGACGAGGAGTGCGAAGTAGCTTTCCAGAATCTAAAGACTTACCTCACTTCACCTCCCCTACTCTCAAAGCTAGTTCCTAGTGAAGACTTGTTCGTGTACCTGGCAGTGTCTAACCCGACCGTCAGCTCAGCTCTCATTCGAGAAGAACTTGGGGCCCAACATCCTGTATTCTACACTTCAAAAGCTCTCCTCGATGTAGAGACTCGCTACCCGAAATTGGAGAAGCTCATTTTGGCCCTTGTAGTTTCCATGAGAAAGTTGCGACCCTATTACCAAGCTCATCGAGTCATTGTCATGACCGACTTTCCTTTGAGATCAATCCTCCACAGCCCTAATACTTCTCAGTGACTCATGAAGTGGGCCATAGAGCTAAGCCTATACGACCTCCTCTACCAACCGAAGACTGCAATAAAAGCCCAAGCCCTAGCAGACTTTGTTGCAGAATTCACATCATTGGCCAAAGAAGAGAAGCTGGTCAGCAAAAAGAAGGAAAGTTTGAGAGTATACCAGACCTCCACTGAACTTGACCAACCCAGAAACATATGGCAGTTGCGCGTAGATGGAGCGTCGAACCAGAAAGGAGCTGGAGCAGGCGTCATCATCATCACCCCGAATGAAACCCTGCTAAAGCAAGCTATCACGCTTGGCTTCCCGGCTTCAAACAACGAGGCAGAGTACGAGGCATTGCTCGCTGACATACGCTCACAGGCGACAAGCCTCATCTCCATTGCAGACAAGCTGCTTAACGAAGCACAAACTCAATTGGAGTCTTTTTCGAGCATTATGTCCCTGACATATGCTCACATGCGACAAGCCTCATCTCCATTGTAGACAAGTTGCTCCTCGAAGCACAAACTCAGTGGAGTCTTTTTCGAGCATTATGTCTCCGACATACACTCGCAGGCGACAAGCCTCATTTCCATTGCAGACAAGTTGCTCCACGAAGCACAAACTCAATGGAGTCTTTTTCGAGCATTATGTCCCCGACATATACTCGCAGGCGAAAAGCCTCACCTCCACTGAAGGCAAGCTACTCCTCGAGTACAAACTTCATGGAGTCTTTTCGAGCGTCATGTCCCCGACATATGCACACAGGCGACGAGCCTTATCTCCATTGTAGGCAAGCTATTTCGCAAGTACAAACTCAATGGAGTCTCTTTCAAGTGATATGTCTCCGGACGTACACTTACAAGATACAATGAGAATTGAAGTTTGAAAGACAACTGAAAATTCCATAACAAAGCAGCCAACCAGCACCATCTACTCAACGGCCTCACCTGCCTGCTTTTTCGCATATGGTCTAGCCTTATCAGCTACGCCACCTTGGGAGTTGTCTTCCTCCATTACAGCTTCATCTGTTATCTACTCTTCAACTGCTTCTCCATTCACAACATTGCTCTGCTCACTTTCAGCAAGGGGCAGGTCAAGATAAAGCTGCTTACCGTCTTCATGTTCAAAAGGGCAACAAGGAGAAGCATTATTCCTGCAATTCAAGTATCCCAGCTTGCATGCATTAGCAACAATCTCATGCTTGGATGCCTCTGTGGCTTCAACATGAGTGTCGAACTTGACCAGCGGAGCTATCACCAACTTCTGGATCGGCACTTCGCGCAACTTAAGGACTCTTTGCTCGAGCAGACGACTTTTTAGCTCTCTTGGCTTAAACTCGCAACATTGAGTCAGCTCCATGCTTGACTTTTCGTGGCTTTGCAGACGAGTCGTGATTCCTAGACAGATGTATAGTCCTCTCAGTTTGATCCCAGGATCTGCACAAGCAACTCAAACCCTGCTTCTCAACAGCCTCCTCACAGGGTAAATCATGGGTTTTAGGCAATTCGAGCGGATACCTGAGCAAAATATCCCGGACCTCCTGCATGCCATTGATCTTCTTATTGTTCGTGCTGACGAGGCGCTTAATCTTGGCAGATGAAGAAGCAACTCTCATAGGGACATTCCCAGCAGACGAGACCCCCTTACGGAAGACTTGCTCGTGGAAGAATGAGGAAGCTTGGTTAAGGACTTCTCCCGCTCAACTGGCAGATCACCTAGGTCCGAGCCATGCAGCTCCCATCTTTCAACATCTTCGACTAGGGGCAGACCATCAGTCTCCTTCTGATATTCACTCAGCAACCAGAGCAATCCACAGAACCTGGCAAGGATGTTCAAAGCTTAATGAACATTGATCATGTTCAGGCCGAGATCAAGCTTCTTGTGGATGTCATTTTCTACAAGCAGAAGACAGAAGTCAGTTAGACACACAACAAAGAATTTCATAGCTACTGTAGCAGATCAAAGGGATGCAACTTACCATCACAGTAGGTGAGAGGAACGAGTGGACCATCGCCAACCTCCCCTACCCATATGCCACTGACTTCCAACATGTCCGTGCTCCACGCATGATCGCCTTCACTCATACTGTTCCTAGTTCGTGACACAAAAAGAAGGAATTGAAGTAGTTTGGATCAACCACAAATAAGCCGACCCAAACTACCACCTGCTCCAGCAGCAGGCTGGCTCGCCTCCAACCCAGTTACAGCTGGACAATCCAAGTTAAAAGACCAAAGTGGCAAGTCCAAGAACTCTTGTGGCAAGTCCAAGACCTCTTCCACGCAGGAGCCCAAATCAAAGAAGGAAGCTCAATTACAGCTGGACAGCCCAACAGATAATTCACATCTCCTACATGCCGCCACACGCCATGCAGAAGCTGGGGGGCATTTGTGGAAACCAATTAAATCAAAACCCTAGGTCAAATAATTCCTTCCATTTGGGGATTATTTGACCTAATTGGGAATTACTCAACCTAATTGGGAGTTACTCAATTTAATTGGGGGTTACCCAATTAAATTGATAATTACCTAATTAAATTGAGATTTGATTTGATTCCTACCACAATTAGGGATTTGACTTACCCTAATAAATCAAATCCCTAATTAATCAAATCAATGCCAAATCGGGGAGGAATAATTCCTTACCAACTACGGAATTATTCCTCTGAAACCCTAGCCTCCGAGACTACTATAAAAAGATGGCCACACACAAGGGTGAAGGTACGTCTAAATTCCTACTGAAACTCTGCCACCATATTCTTTCTCTCTCTGACACAAGGCTCCGACCACCACACACAGTTCCGGCCACCCGGTTTTTCTTGAAATACCCTACCTAACTTAGGCATCGGAGGGCCTTTGCCAACACCCCCCGGGTGTGGTCCTTTTACCCCGATCTGTTTTGCAAGGAGAAAGAGAAGTGGAGAAGACGAAGGAATCTTAGACGAATATTCTAGTGGGACGAAATTTGCTCCCACATCAACCACATCAATGAGATGGATAAAATAGCCAAGACAGTGAGTTTGCTCCCATACAGTTAAATTTGAACTCCCTTCACGTAAATTAGATCAATTTAAAGTAAATTATCGCTCGTATAAAAAAAGAAAAACTAATGATTCTCTTGATATGTTTTTTCAATGCATGACTCATGTGTGTTATTGTATGTTTTTCGCACCATCCGGAAGAAACATGACGGATATATATTCCTAGACTAAGGAGGGATTTAAATGTATGAAAATGAAAACGAGACTTACTAAGTTTGGAGCTAGGACAACCTGTTTTATACGGATTGATTTAAACCTTGAGCAAGAATCTCGCACCATAACAAACTTGTGCAAGAAAAATCTGCACCATATTTTAACTACAGTAAGGAAAAGCAAATGGCTAGAATTGAGGGAAGCCATACGCATGGATTAGGTGCAAAATGGTAAATTACTCAAATGGTCCCCAAACTTATATCTTATTTACATTTTGGTCCGTCAACTAAATTATTCGTTTAAATTGTCCATCAACTCTATATTATTCGCTTCAGTGGTCCTACCATCTAATTTTCTGTTAGATTTAACCTAATTTTAGGGTAAATAATGATCAATTTGCCCTCATATTTAACGGAAATATTGACATAATGTAACGGTAAGACTAATGAAGTGAATAATGTAGAGTTGATGGACCATTTGAACAAATAATTTAGTTGAGAGACCAAAATGTAAATCGAGTATAAGTTTGAGGACCATTTGAGTAATTTACCCAAGCACGAAATTTATGAATGAAGGTGGGAAACTCGATGTATGGTGATGACAAATTAGCATTCAGACACATGGCTTGCTAAGCGTTAGAAAATCGCCACTTCACTCATATAGGTGGCATTCAGCAATTCACTCAAGATTATAATTTAGGTAAAATGTGATTTTTCATCCTTGTAGTCTTCATGTTTTACTACTTCAATCTTTGTACTTTCAAGAGATATTTAGTCATATATCCATTCTTAGTACTTAGAGCATCTATAATGGGCTCCTAAATCACCTTCTTAGAAAAAAGTTAGGGAGAAATCAAAAAATACAACTTCAACCATGCTCCCACCCACCTCATAAAATAGCTTTTATATGTTTTTAGCTAAATTTAAACTAAAAAAATCAAGAGTATGATTGTAGATGCTCTAATTATATAAATAAATCATACACCATTTAATTTCTATAAATAAACCCAAAAAATGACAACTAATCCTATTTAATTTACTTTTGATTATTAAATTACTTTGATACTCTATTGAGTGTTTCGGAATTTTTTTTAATGAGGTTGTTGTTTGTTTTTTTTGGGTTTGTTTTTAAGAAATTGACAGTTTTGTAATTGATAAGAAGTTAAATAGTTTTTTTGTGTTATGTTGTAAATGGGTTTTGAGTGTGTTCCATTTATATGGGATTTTTTTTTTTTTTTTTTTTTTTTTTTTTTTTTTTTTTTTAAATTTTTGTTTTATTTAGGGTAGGCTTATATGGATATTGGAATAGTGAATCTTCCTAGTTTCAATTCATTAATTTTGTTGATGTAGTTTTAAATCTCTCACAATTCAAGGACATGTTACAAATTCTGTCAACCAAGCATGACATGAGCGTTGTCGCTGCAGGGCCTGTGCATTGTCATCTCAATGGCCCATAATATTCTCTGTCATTCATATTACAGTTTAGCCAAAATTTAAAAAATATAAATAAACAAATTCAATTTGTATACCCAAAAAGAAAAATAGAATTCATTCATGCATATCAGGGATAGGCAAGCCATAAATGAGTTGTAAACTTGTATTGAAGAACTACCTTTCTTTTTCTTTGATTCCTCTTTTGGATGATGATAGATTAGTCCAGGCTTTGATGCAAAATGTTCTTTAGTAGTTTTTAAAAGGGTTTTCGACCGAAATGGTTCCCAACTATTGCTCCAATATCATTTTGGTCCACCAACAAAAAATTTCATTTCAATAGTCCTTCAACTCTTCATTTGGTATCAAAACGGTCCTACTGTCAAATATTCTGTGCAATCGTGGGGCTAAAAAGTAAAATATTATTTAAAAAATTAAAAATTAAAAACTGAAATCTCAAACAACCAAAAAAAAAAAAAAAAAACTGAATTTCCCTTCCTCAGCAAGCACGCACATCCTCTCCTCTCATCTTCCCTCCCAATCTCATCTCCACTCTCATTATCACTTTCATTCTTCCTCTTTTTCCTCTATACTCTAGCACAAAAGGTGAAAACTAAAATTGAAATGATTATCAAACTGGCTGATTGACCAAAATAATACTGGATGAATAGTTGGAGAACCTTTTCAGTCGAAAACCTTTTTGTAAAAATCCTTTTGTGTTCATTCCACGTTGTGACCATAAAGAAAAAAGGAAACGCATATATGCCGTCGTATACCAAGTCTTTAAAGTGAGTTTCCCTAACCCAAAAAGGATTACCAGCTGTGTAAAGACACTTGAAAGCTGAAAAGACATTTTACACTAATTTTCCTCACTTGCAATGCAAGGACAAATTTTTTAGGCCTATTTCCTTCCAAAGCTAATTTGGTTTTCCCCAGGTAACAAACAAGAAAAGAAGATTCATTGCTCTCTCATTCACGTCGGCATTCGCAAACCCAGTTTCAGACGAAATCTCAAAAGTTCAAACAAGAAAAGAAGATTCATTGCTCTCTCATTCACGTCGGCATTCGCAAACCCAGTTTCAGACGAAATCTCAAAAGTTCAACACAGAACAATTAAAGCCAAACCAGAAGGAGCCTGAAGATATTTAACAACTCCAATTATGGTTTTATTTCTAACTGCTACCAATAAAAACTCACTTCAACCGTCAAAGATGTCGTGCCAGGCCCTACAATAACACTAATATATTGTTTTGGAAGCAATTCGAAGATACAACCTGTGCCACTTGGAAAAAAATATACAGATGAATACAAATCCGCATGTCCATAACTGGCAATCAGAAACGAATGACAACAAGAGGAGTTAGGTAACACTGCACATCAGTGGGGAAACGAGTAGAAAAATGTCACTTTCAAGCAATCTACACACAGAATGGAAATAAATCTCACCTGCGTCACTAGAAGATAAACCCTTGTCAAAGGCAAGGAATATTCGACTTGCAAGACCAGCAGAGATATGACTGGTCATAGTTCACAAAGGACGGCTTCCATGAACCCAAATCCAGGCCACAAGGAAGTTTCTTGAGAGCGTTTGAAAGCCATTTGGAAATAACGTTCGCTAAAATTTACAACTATACCTTTTGTTGGATTCCATATGTTTATCTAGAATAAGATAATGAGACTTAATTATCTCAATGCTAATATTTTTTACAATGGAACTTATACATTGAAATTCTTTCAAAGAAATGATATCCATAGCTTTTCCACTGCCCTCCAAAGCTCTGCAGGAAATCATAGTAATCACAGTACGATTGCATTTGGCACAACAAATTATCTAAACATCAACGCGCTATAGCTACGCGAATGAGGGATCTCATGACTTCAATGACCAAATAACACATAACATGCCCAATAAATCAAGAATTAGAAAAAAGGAAATTATTGATAAAGGGGGCAGAAAAAATAACAGGATAAGTAGACCAATTTATCCATCAATGTTTCCTTCCTTTAAATTGAGTCCCTGACCAAATTCTGGATGAGCTCTGCTAGACAACAGTCTCCACTGGGTACCAGTCAATGCAATCTTCCCATGGACTATGAAGAGAAGGTTTTACATTCTGAAGAGCCTCCCAGACTGCACTGTTACACTTGAAACCACTACCAAAAGCAATCTGCCAGACACGGTTCCCCTTTTGCATCCTCCCCTTTGCCTCAGTATAAGCCAACTCATACCAAATCGAACTCGACGAGGTGTTACCAAACCTGTGGAGTGTCATCCGAGATGCCTCAACATGAACTGGTAGAAGCTGCAAGTTCTTCTCAAGCTCATCAATCACAGCCCTCCCACCAGCATGTATGCAAAAATGATCAAAAGCAAGCTTGAAATCCGGGATATAAGGCTTGACTTTCGCATTGAACAACTTCTTTGCAACCAAAGTAGCAAAGAAGAGAAGCTGCTCACTTAGAGGCAGGACAAGGGGACCCAATGTTGTGATGTTTGTCTTAAGAGCTCCACCAGCAATTGCCATGAGATCCTTCGACAATGAAACCCCAGTTTTCCCAGCATCATCCTGCTCTTGATAAACACATCTAAATGCCTTATCATCAGCCCCACGATGAGTCCTCACAACATGCACAAGCTTATACTTTGCCCGACGCCTATCCAACGACCTGTTTGAAAGCAAAACCGCCGCCCCACCAACACGGAACAAACAGTTTGGTATCAACATGGATTTCTTGTTCCCAAAGTACCAATTCTGAGTAATATTCTCAGTGCTGACAACCACCGCATAAGTGTTCCCATGAACTTGCAACATTTCCTTAGCAAGATCAACAGCTATAACTCCAGCACTACACCCCATACCCCCCAAATTAAAACTCCTAATATTCCCCCTCAATTTGTACTTGTTAACAATCATAGCAGACAGTGAAGGGGTTGGATTAAACAAACTACAATTCACAACAAGAATGCCAATGTCCTTAGGCTTAACATTTGTATTAGCAAACAGATTATCCAAAGCACCAAAAATCACCTGCTCTGCCTCCTCGCGAGCCGCCGCCATAGACGGCCTGGGCGGAATGTAATGCATTGCTTCAGGGACATAAGTCTCCTCCCCAAGGCCAGAGCGCTCAAGAATCTTGCGCTGGAACTCAAGTGAAGACTCGTCAAAGTCCCCAGTGAGCTTCGAATGCTCCATGAACTGCTGAAATCTCACTTGCAAATGCGAAGGCGGCTTGTAACATGAAAAGTCCACAAGGTAAACGGATCTCGGGCGGGTCATAATGTAAACGGTGGATCCAAAAACAATTACAGCAGAGAAAATAATGACACTGACCAGATTGTACTGGAGCTGGAGCCAGAGGTGGTGAATGTCATCTGGGTTCATCTGTGAGGCTTGAATGACAACGACCGCCATTAGAGGAACTGAGCAGAGAGTCAAAAGGTGAGTTATCAAGTAATGGTAACCCAATTTCACATACTTCAAGTTCACACTTTGTAAGAAGTCCGGTAATCTACGGCTCTGGTGGATCTGAACTCCGCCATTGACAATGGGCTCAGAGCTCATGATGGGTCTGCGAAATAGGCACTTGGGTTTGAAACTATGGGGTTTTCTGAGGTGGGTTTTCAGTGGAGGGGATTCAGAGGGTTATATATATGGTGAACAGAGTGAAGTGTGAAGGTGAAGAAAACGGATCTGAGTGAAGAAATAGAAGGGTTGGTAGTTTGATACAACAAGAACAGCGACCAAGTGAGATTTATAGACAAGAGAGGTGAATGAATTGCACAGCATGAAGATTGTGACGTTGAGAGAGAGAGAGAGAGAGAGAGAGAGAGAGAGTGGGTTGGTCTGTTGTTTTGCGTTTGGTTCTGCTACACCTCCCCCCTCTGTCTCTGTTTGGTCGAAGATTCAGAATTGATTGATAAAATTTTAGGAAAGAATTTGGGGGGTGACTGGAATCTTAAATATGGGAGGGGATTGGACGTGTCGAGTAGAAACACAATGAGAGAGAGGAGAGGAAGCTTCAAAGCGATTTCTCTGGACGTCTTGATCTCTTTGACGGCTTATGATAAATAGCCTAAAGAGCATTCCTAGTTATGCTCCTTATTTTCAAGTAATATTTGAACTAAAAAACTATGAAGTTAAATTATGAGCTCAATATATCATTTGTAATTTAACCATGCTCCTTAGTTTAGCTAACTAGGATCCCCAAACAAGAAAGTATTTGTTTAAATAATATCGAAATAGTAGTCATTCATGATAATGAGAGCCACAATGAGTTCCTTCATGTTTCCTCACATTTAGGAGCTTATGGAGCATATGGCTTTTAGCTCTCACACCATGCATGCACTCTCCTGCTATTGTTCTTCAAGCACCACTTGAGGCATCTCAAAAGCCACTTAAGCAATCGTAGAGCCGCAAGAGCTTAGAACCGATTTCACCCCGGTGCTCGGGTTAAGGAACGGAACTCACAAATCTAAATGAGGTTAAATAATGTGGAGAAAAGAGAGAATATGAATTTATTTTTAATTTTTATACAAGCATGAGAGGGGAGAACAATTTGAATATAGGACCTTAAGTGTTCTAGATAACTGCTTTTAATCACTTGAGCTACAAGCTCTTTGCTGGAAAATATGAATGTTATGAGTATATCACTTTGGTGCACATATACAGTGGCGGAGCCACTCCCAGGCCTGGAGTGGCCCTGGCCCCTCCAGATATTTATCTCTCATATATTATATTATATATAACATATAAAATTTGTAATAAATAACTTATAATTTAAGTTAAAATTTCTTCTAAAACAAATTAGACATGACTCAATTAGAAATATTTAGCTCTAAACATGTAATTATTGAATATTTAAGTGTTTTATATATTTGTATTTCTACTTCGGCCCCCCAAACTTTACAATTCTAGCTCCGCCCCTGCACATATATGTATCTGCTTAAGGATGATAATAACGGTAGTCTAAATATATGATAATTGAATGGATTGAATGAGCCAATGAAGATAAAAGCAACAACAAATCAATAAAGACAGAATTAAAGTTTGAGTCAAATTTACAACTAGCCCTAGAAAACTTTATTTAAGGTCAAATTCTAATCATCCACCATATCCAAGCACATGCTTGGGCAAATGATTAGATCGTACTCCACTACCTCATTATTATTATTATGGTTCGATAATCACAATGATTTAGAGTCAACTCTATCTCTAGTTATTATAAAATCTGGAAAAAAAATCTAAGGAATCTAATGCTTTCGAGTTGTCATAAAATTTGAGAAAATCCAAAGAATCTAATGCTTTTTATAAATAAATAAAATGGATAGAGAAATAGGACAGGTTGTGAAAATAGCAACACTATTTTTTTCTCTTAAGAATTTCTCATGTTTTCTCATTTTTCAGCTTTGTCATGTGGGAGACACATGACCCGTTAATAAAGTTGAACTTCTCACAGAAGTCAATGTTCCAAAGTGGCAAAGAAATGAAGTTCACGCAAATGACATAATAATAATTCATTAATCGATGAGTGTGTTGACCACTTTTTCATGTTCAAATAAAAACGCAGAAATCATATGGCTCATTATGTTTTCAATCATTTAGATTTTGGTCGGTGATATCTTTTGGTTGGATAATCTTGTGGAAGATGTTTGGTGCGTTTTATATTTTGCACAATGGGCCTACTGATGTTGACAAAAAAAAAAACATGGGCCTCCTGCTGGTGAGTGTGTATTTTACACAATGGGCCTATTGCTTGAGATTTCACATGACGAAGAATTCTATAATGAGGGCTTTATATATGTCTTTTAGTGAAGCCCTATCTCTTAATTGTTTGATCAAATTGGTTAGTTTGATCTAACGTTAAGATATAGGATATCACCTAAGGGCCATATATAAGACCCTCACTATAGAATGACTCTTCGCATTATTTGATTTATTGATTCTTTAGTGGTTAAGAATAGTTAACTACATTTGAGGTCAAGAGGAACAATATTCTACTTTAATTTAATCTAAACTACAGGGAGGGAAATTTGAAATTGTGTGCAGAGTAGGGAGCACATCCACTCTAACCAACTTGGCTAAGCCATATATGCTTGATATTGCGTGTATTTAAAAAAGAACTGTGCATATATTGCTTTTGGCTTTTACTACCCAAAAATTTAAAGAAGATGAGCATTCTATTTGCACCAAAAAATTTGATCATTGTTCTCAGCATCCAGCTAAATTTTCAAACTTTCCTTGCTCCCATCATCCTATTATGTTTTTTTCTTCTTCTCTCTTTATTAATATGGAATTGATAATGAAAGCTTCGAATTTGAGACATCTTCTGACATTAAAAAGCGAAATACCAATGGACTTAAAATCGGTCTATAACCCTAATAGTTATCTTCAAAATTTAAACTAAAAAGAATTAAGGAAAATAAAAAAAATTGGGTACCAAGTGTGATGATCAAATTTTCAGGTGTGAATAGCCACACTGATAAGAAACACCATTATCCTTCAACAAAAGGGGCTTGATATCAAGAAAGCCCAAAGAGAAAACTTGCACAACAGGCAGACGGTACCCCGTTTGGCTTTGTGACTTTACCACCAATAATTTAGTGCCACGTTTCAATCCTGCAACGGGCTCTGACCTCCTCCGTTTTCTTGGCAAATACTCTAACTCATGGCGGTTCCCCTTGTACCAACCAGATATAAATACAAGACCCTATTTTTCTTCTTCCTCAAAACAACAAAAAATATTTTCTCAATCTATTTGCAATTTACAATTTCACTTGGTTTCTTTGTGATCAAAGGTATGCGGTTCTGAACTTGATGCTTTTATTCTACTGATAAGTGATTTTTTTTTTCAAAAATTTGTTTTGCGTGCCAACTATGTGCCCATAGAAAGCAGACTTTGCCATTGATTTAGCAACAGTTGTTACCAATTTCTGCCAACTCTGTAGTTTTGTGTTTCTGTGATAGCTTCATTGTGGCATTACTTCAAACACTTGTTGTGCGGTTTTTAGATTTATAAATGTGGAGCTGAAACTTGTTTGTGTGGCATTGTATTATGCTTATGTGTGTGTGTCCACATGCTTGCGAACTGTTGTGACGGTCAATCTGGACCATGTGTTCAACAAAAATCTACCTGATCACAGTCTGATATCATAAAATTAAAATGCTAAACATTTCAGACTGTCTTGATAATTGAACACGCACCTTGTTATGGGTGTTGGTTTTTAGGCTCTCTTGATTTTTTGATTGATGAGGGAAAACCAGTTGTGCTTGATGTTAAATAAAATTTTATTTGTGATTGCCCACTTTTAATAAGATGTAAAATAGTTTTGTTTATGCATCACAAGCCCAACCCCGCTGAAGAAGTTGACGATTTCCTTTGTTTGCTTTTCTTATGGAAGGAAAGTTCTCCTTTTTTGAAGTTTTTTCGAAGATAGTCCTCCCTGTTGAACAGATGTGGCTATAAAGGTTGTGATAATAATGAACACATTGAGGACATTTGTGATCTAATTTGATAAACCTTTGAATCTCGTAGTAGTGCTATCATGAGATATAAAAGGAACCCTCTATTTCATTTTGGCTCTAGTGTGTTCATGGTGTTGTGGTATGAGCTAAGGGCTCGTATATCTAATTACTTCCACTCCAAGTTTTTTATTTTTCCTTTTAATTTATGTAAAATAGTCCTGAACAGTGTTTTTCCTTTCACTTAAAGCTAATGATTTGCATCAATTTTCTTCCCTGCATCTTGATGAGATAACTGAATTTCTTGCGTTGGCTTGTTGTGGCTAGCTAGGCCTGGGATTTAGTTTAAATTTATTGCTTTTCATTGTTTTCAATTGTAATCATCTCATCCAAATCTTTTGTAACGACTGACTTCTGGGTCAGGTGTTGGTGAGAATGGAATCACAGAAAAGTCAACATGAACAACAGCCATCGCCTGCTGCTGCAACCCCCTCCACCACTTCATGTCGAAAGAAGAAGAGTGAACAAGCCAGTTTCTTGGAGGATGTGAAGGATCATATTGATGAGTTTATCCATGCCTCTATGGATGAACACAAAACTTGCTTCAAGAAGACCATGCAGAAGGTTTGTTCCCACTTCAAATTAAATGCTAATATTGCTTGTTCAGAAATGTTTTCGTCGGTTAATTGGTTTGCTTCTGATCCTGATTGGATTATTGTGCGTTCATTTTCAGATGTTTGCCATGTCAAAGATTGTCGCTGAGAGGAGTTCCGACACCAAGGAAGTTGAAAGTTCTCTGCCCCTTCAAACCACAGTGGCAAAATAGAATATCTTCTGATGTTAATTAGTTAAAATTGTGGCACTGCAGTTTCAGTTTGATGAACGAGAAAATTTGACTTTGTAAGGTTAACTGGTGACTATTATGAAGCTGATTACTTAGTGTTATGACTATGTTCTTGTGATCTATTTAGCTTTGCTACTTTTTTTTTCTTTTTTTTTCTGTATGTGCCAAGTCAGTGTTGAATTTGTTCGGTGATCAATTATCGAGTAGCAAAACAAATAGAAAATTGACCTCCTACTTGAGATTAAAACAGGGCTGCATTGTTGTTTCCTCGTACGATCAGCTTGCTCTTTCAACGGGGGAAATTTCATCATTGTGAAACTTGTGAAGTGGCAGGGCTGCTACTTGATGCCACCATTTTCTCCCCCCATTTATAAGCTGTGCTTGGGCGAAGTTTTTGTCTACCATTGGCCTCTATGGTCTTCTATTGTAGAATTTGCCGGTAGTTTGTTATGTGGCGGATCTAAGCTGTTCGAGTCTGTCTTATTTTTAGGATAACAGCCATTAGATTTTGGTAGGAATTACTGCAAACTCACCTCATAGGTTGTAGGGACTACCAAATGCGAGTTGAGCATTGGGTGGTCTGGAGGTTTCGAACCTCTACCTATATGGGTAAAGATAGAAGAGCTCAACCAACTGAACTATACCCCACTGACATATCGGAATTTATTTTAATACAAACACAAACGTAATCACTTTTGGGCTTTTTTGGGCCATAATAGGGAGAATTTTGGGCATACTAAATAAATTTAACTCATCAAAACCCAACTCTAACTTACGCGCATTCTACTTAAACCCTAATCTTCCCCTAACCATCTCACATTTCTTTCTCTTTTGAACTTCTGTTTTTCGGCGGCTGCGTCACTCATAGTGCATCAAGATAACAAGCTTTCCATCATTCTTTACAAATCAACTCCACCTTCTTTAAGGTACTTGTGTACTTTGTTTCTTTTCTTAATTTTCTCTTTGAAACGATATCTTTGAATTTCTATTTTCGTCTCTTAATTTGCTTTGTATCTTTCACCTTTTTTGCTTTCCTTTGATAGTTTTATGCTATGATGCTACCTTCTCTTGCACGTAATTTCTACCCACACATGTATGTATATCCCCTTCCATTGAAGGACACCTTTTAGGATCCCTAAATCCTAAATCATAAATTAAACCCTGAACTCCTTTCTTTATAATTCATGGTAAAAAACTTATGTGGAACTGTTTCTATAATGTGACAGTGCTGAGTAACAGTACAGTTAAAAGATGGCATGCGTTTAAAAACGGATCATCAACTTTGAACACATGCCACCTTTTAATTAAATTGTTCTGTCATTGAGTATTGTTATATGATAGGAATATCCCCCATATAAGTTTTTCTCTCAAATACCTATCGGTATGGAAATGTTGACAAAATATCAACATTGATTTTATAAATAATAATAACAAAAATACTGTTCATGATAAATAAAAAATTGTTAGTTGAATTGCATAGGAAAGAGTTGGGATTTAAACGAGGTTCAAGTGGATCCAAATATAAGCAAGTGAAATGTTTATCACATGAGTTGAGAGATTAAAACAAAAGAATGTGAAAAAAATAGTGAACGTTTTTTTAATTTCGTATTTAATATAAGGCAAGAAACATGTTTGGATGTGGTTACTTGGTTGACCTACATTCTACTACATGCTAATCGAATGAAGGCAGAGGCACATGCATCTCTCTCGTATGCTGCGAGTGGTAGGTGAACAACCCCCTCCCTAAAATCTTCCTGCCATTATTGCTGGATATGCATTCATGGCAGAATATGTGGAACCTTGTATTGGGTCCAGTTTAAACCAGTAGAGATGTAGATTTTGTTTCCTTTCTTATTGGTGAGAGTTGGGGTTTTGGGGGTTGTGAAGGGAGCACTAAGCTTTGAATTTGTTAAACAAATCAGGTATGTGATGATAAGATTTCAATAAGACAGGGAAATGTTATTTGTGCCCTAGGGAGTGCAAGAAGCTTACTTTGGAGTGCAAATAATATCTCCTTAACTGTTTTGATAAAAAGACGATAGAATTATTTTATTAAATCAATAAGAATAAATAGAATAAAGGAAACCATCCTAATAGCAATATGGCAATCATGGGTAAAACTTCCCCCGTGACCTCAGCAATCCAAAAAGTTGAAACGATCTGTAGAGAATCACACTCGAAAATAACTTTTCTAAAACCCCTTTTAACCGCCACAATTTCTCCAAATCTTATCCAATGACTGACCTCAAAGACAGAGTAAAATAAGAATGTGTTTTAGAATTTTGAATGTCAACTTATGTGGTAGTGTCTTATTTGTTTATATTTGGTTACTAAACTCGCTTATTTCCTACAAACAACCACCTACGTTATTGAAATTAGGATCACTAATATCTTATTTCTTAAAGATTAATGAAATTCAAAGCAACTAAAATACTTCTGCAACAAATGCTATATCATTTGGTGACCCTAGAAATAGTATATACTACTAGTATTAATTTTTCTACGATAAGTGATGCAACATATAACAAAAACAAATTTCAGTTGTTCATATCAAGGTTCATTTTGAACAAGTACATATTTTTCAAATGTTATTCACCAAACCAAATGATGATTTGGTGGAACATGACAATATCTTACATGAATGGGATAGATACAAACATGAACAACATTTGGTGACCAAAATTTTAGAAAGTTTTTGTGGCTCTAGCGTTATTGTTTCAAAAATCAATAATGCACACCAACAAAAATCCTAAAATTTTGAACATTTTGTAGTGTTTCTTTTACAGATGTTAGGTGATGGATGATATGACAATATATATATATATTTTTTAATACAAGAGTTAGTATGTAAGTTAAGGCCATTTTCACCTAAGTTAGACCCCACTTGACAATATCTTAATTAAATAAATGAGGTTCATAGTAAACCAAATATATCAACATATAGAACAATAACATCATTGTCAATGGGGAATAGCTCAGTTGGCTAAGCTCTTCCACCTTCACCCTTGTAGACAGAAGTTCGAAACCCTCATGCACCCATTGAATATTTGTGTAACACACCCCCCCCCCCCCCCCCCATCGCTTGTACTTAAAAGAAGAAAAGAAAAATCATTTAGTGGCACAAGTGTTATTGTTTCAATAATTAATAATGATACATGCACCTGCTCAAATCCTTAAATTTTGAACTTCAACTAGTGTGATAATGTTTCATGTTCTTTATAAATATTATTTCTAACAAGTAAGAAATTTGGAAACCAAAAACTTTCCCAAATATTATCAGCCATGTAGAGAAATTATAGAATACTACGGTAGTACAAAGGAAAAATCACTCGGCCATGTGGTGTGATGGATAAAATGACAATATTTTAAAAGTTGTAAGAAGGAAAAATGCTAGTCATCAATTATGTTCAAAATATGATGTATTGATACTCGTTAGTAATAAATAGGGTTTATATTGAACCATATTTAAATCATTCAAACAATGCCACACCATTAGGTGAATAAAAATTTAGTGAATATATTTGGTATCCCTACTCTACTAGGAATATGTTGACTAAAATGGTGTTTTTAGAAACACTAGGTAAGAGGAGGAGGGTCTAGAGTGAAAAGGGCGGTGTGAAAAAAAAATTGGAAAAATTTGGAAAAATTTGGAAGCCAAAGGAGAGAGACTTAAGTCAAGGGGAGGGTGTGTTTTATAGGGGTGGGTATTTGAACCCGTGAACCGCATCGAAAAAGACCGGTTAGGGTTTAGGGTGAAAAGGGTGGTGTGAAAAAAAAGAAGGGAAAAATTTGGAAGCCAAAGGAGATTCAATAGAGAAGACTTAAGTCAAGGGTAGGGTGTGTTTTATTGGGGTGGGTATTTGAACCCGTGAACTGCATCGAAAAAGACCCTTTTTGTCTTCGAAAATTTAGTATAATAAATCAAATCGGACCGGTTATGTTAAGTTTACTTATTCATTTATATCCAAAATTATTAATAAGCCTAGTTAATATTCAAATAACATTAACTCTAAATAATATCTAGATATTTTAGTCCAATTAATAACAAAATATCTTTGTTCAATTTTATACCCAATTAAATAACTACTCTAGCCCAATTTCTTTTTATTTTCGGTGAACTATATCCATTCTTGTTGCGCTTCCGTCTTTCTCTATTTTTCACATATTTCTTTCTATTTATCTTCCTATTTATCTCTTCACCTCTTTCTCTCTTATTTTATCCTTGGTACATATTTTTCTCTTTTTCCTATTTTTCTATACATCATATTTCTCTACTCTTCACATCTTTATATTTTTATATTTCCAAATCGGAAATCGAGCCAAACCAAACCGAAATCACATAGGTCTAGTTTGATTCTATTCTTCTAGACATTTTCTATAAAAAACCAAACCAAATCAGACTGTGTGCACGTTCCAGTTTTGGTTCTAATTCAAGAGAAAAACCAAACTGAACCGGACCGTGCCCCACCCCTTTATGTCTTTTTTTTTTTTTTTTTTTTTTTTTTTTTTTTTTTTTTTTAAGTTTATTCTTCATTTTCATTTCTCTCTCTTTCATATTTCATTTTTCTTTCTATTTCTAATGTCAAGACATATTAATTAGTTTTCCTTTTCTTTTTATTTCTTACTAGTTATAATTAATAAGCTAATGTTTAATAGCTTCAGCATAAATGAAAAATAGCAAAGCATTTAGAACATGTTGTACCGTACTCGCGTAATTTTATCTATTTGGCTTTATATAGAGAAGAATATATATATATATATATATATATATATATATCTGAAAATCCCAAATATCATCGTCTCACGTATACATAATAAAAATTAATACGATATATGACACATAAATTAAGATTCCATTAGTTGAATCTTACACATAGAATCACAGAGTACATTATACATGCCTTTGGTACATGCACACGTAAGTACGTACGTACATACACACACTAGCTTATATAGCGGCAAGAATACAAAAATTAAAAAAAGTGAAACTACTTGAAAGTACATACATAGAAGAATCACAGGTTGTGGTTTCACAAACGAGTAAAACTATACCATGACCACAGTGTCATTGAATATTAAAATGGAGAAGAGCTAGCGATGATGCTTTTATTTATTAACTAGTAGATGGAGTTGCACTGCTTCAGCGGAGCTTGAGGTTTCTCATCCTGCAAATTAAGCACAACAAAATTTCAATGGAAGTGTTGGTTTTCCAAGAAAGCGTCTAAAATGTTGAGCATATATGTAAAGGCAAGAACTAGAATTGGGTTACAGCAGTGCTTTCTGGTATAGAAGCTTTTCAAGTTAATTTCAACTTTGTAGGGATAGTGTCTTGGAAGTCAATGGACATAGTCTTATTAAAGCATTGGAATGGAATGAAATGGAAAGGAAAGTTCGGTGTATTTTAAGCACAAATTTCACATTGAGTCAAAGAATTGGAATTAAGTTTAACAATATTTATAACTAGTCATCTTTTAGGTGGAGGACTTTGACAATACTTTATGTACATAATATATATACCTCTGTAGGCTGGGAAGGGCACTTGGCCTGACTCAATATGCTTGACATCTTCAACAAGACGCTCGTAGTGCCTCTTCACTTCCTCCGGGGTTTTGCCGCCGACCGCCTTAGCAACATTGTACCAGCGGTCGGCGGTGTCCTTGTCATACTGAGCCAGAGCCTTCTCAAAGGCTTTGTTTTGCTTGGCAGTCCAAGAGGACATTGAACTTGATGCCATTAGTTTCTAGGACTAAAATGGTCTTTTGAGAAACACTACGGGGAAGAAGAGTCTAGAGTGAAACGGGTGGTGAGGAAACAAACTGGAAAAGCTTGGAAGGCGAAGGAGAGAATGAGGAGAGTCAATAGAGAAGACTTAAGTCAAGACTCAAGAGGAGGGTGTGTTTTGTGCTGAGCGCTGTACATGCTCTTTATAAGGAGGGAGTCGAGAGGGTGAGGTGGGGTAGTGCCAGTTGGCAAAGAGATCTTGGAAAAATGATGTGGAATTTGAATGATTTGGTCACCTTAGCTACCACAAAATTATTCAATCAAGCAGACAAAGATGAAGAACAATAATTACGGGAGAATCAGTATCTCAAAGAAATTTTGATTAAAAAAATCAATAAAGTTGATTGAAGTCCTTTTCTTTCTTTCTTTCTTTTATCAGTTATTATCAACACTATAACAAAGAAATAACGCACTGCTTGCGGTTTGCTCACTTGTTCATTAAATTGGTCTAAAATAATTAAACAGTGACTTTTTATGGAGTGTGAAATTATGAGTTCTAAAAACAGTCAAACCCAGGAACCTAGAAGCTGTTCTCTTTGCTTATTTTGCAAATCAACTTAACCTAGAAATTAGAAAAATTGGTGCTGTCTGGCCTCATGTAATTTGCCAGCTTCTGAATTAAAAAATTGGTAAGTTTGGTGACTCAGAGCCTTGAAAGCTAAGCATACCAACAGAGGAAAAAACAAAGTGGAAATTCTCAAGGTGAGAGCTTCTTCATCTGTTGAGATTTCCTGCAGATTACATCATTACCCTCTCTTTTATTCTCTAACTCTGCAGGGTCTTTAGGTGGGCCTCATACTCAAAACCACAGTCAATCAGATAACCGTACTTAACTTTCACGTGTGCATCACAAACCTTTTTTTTCCTTCTCCTTTTTTATTCTTTGTTTTACAGAGTTTCATAGCAAGAGGAAGAGCAGAAAAACTTGTGTGGAAGGAGGATACCTCTTTTTTGCTATCTCGGACTAATCATAGTATGCCAATTGGAAAAGTTATTACGGGTGGCATACCATAATTGGCTGGGATAGGAAAACAGTGTTATCTCCGTTCCACACAAGTGTTTCTCTAAGCAAGAGGCCTCTGTGCTGCTAGGTACAAGTGACCTTGTTAGTGTCATCTGTCCTGAACAACGTTCCAAGCTCTCTAGCTGGCCTGCTGGATCCGTACAATGATTCAATTGTGTTTTTTCTCTGAGGAAAGGTCAACATAATGTCACCAACTCTTCCGCAGTTGGGGCCCTTTCTGATATAGTTTGGTTATTGCTGCATAAACCTATTGGTGTATTCACAAAGTGTTCAATGGTTTGAACTTGAGGGATTTCCGTCCAATCAGACCCTGAAATTTCAGTCATTTTGGTTTAAACAGAGTTCAATCAGAACCCATCTAATTATGTACCATTTGGAAAAAAAAGGGTTGAGATTGACCTCTTCATTGTCATTTCAAACCATGTTTAGGGTAATACAGAAAAACCATGTGTGTAGAAATCTGGTATCAAATAATTGTATCAAATCTGGTACCAACTGGTATGAATTATTGTTGTGATGCTCATGATTTTGGCCCTTTCTTGGGCCAAACAGTTCTAAAGTTAAATGGAGAAATACAAATTTCTGCACCTATATATTACAAGGTTATCCACACATAATGATCTTGTTTGCTTAGTCCTTAGCTGTTGCTTCAGGATGATGCATTGGAGTCACAAACACCAATTCCCACAGCCCTTCACTTGTTCTTCAGATTTTAGCTCATTTTGATCCACAAATCATTGTTTCCAATTGCTACATTTGGTTATTTCTCAAATAAAAGAAAAAGGTGTTTCAACTTTAACCTCTCAGATGGTTTGAGTCTGGCTGGCTGTGAATCTGTTTTTTTTTACCAACTGATATCACCCTAGTCATGAACTCATGGGCAAACTACTTGCAATAATGCGATAGAATCTTTTACTGGCCAGAGTTAAAGTGGCCCATTTGTGGTTTTTGAATTTTTGAAACTTCTCACTTTTCCATTTTAGAGGAAGTTTGGTTGTTTTTAGTCTTTGACCCACTAATTTTATTGAATAAATTCTCTCCTTAAGCCTATAAATTGTTACAAGAACCCAAATTTGCTGATTAATGATAGGAACTTGACTTTCCCTCGTGTTTATCACCAATTGTATAAAACCATGTTCTTATCTCTTTTATCACGTGACTAGTCATGTTAAAAAGAGAAATAAGAATATTGTATACAGCTGGCTATACCTATGATTATTTCCTCATATTATTTCTTGCATCAGATATGTTGAGTACCTGTAAATTTAGCATCATCAACAAGCACGAATTCCGAACAAAACAACACACATTGGAACACCATAGCTGTGTGCTAGTATCATGTCTTTGGCACATGAGCTGTAACAGCAGTAAGGGTTTCCTGTAGCTTTCTAGTAGTCGGATGAACCATTATTTACCTTGCATGCATAACAAAGGTTAAGGCGTATCTCAATCATGATAGTGACAAATTTTTTCTTTTGGTCAAGAGAATATCTGTTAAGAATAAAAAGTTAAGTCGGAGGCATCCCATTTTAGAGGGGCGGCGATGTGGTGCCATGTCTAGTCTGCAACTTGGTTAAGGTAGCCCCAGCCTATGGATCTACATTTGCAAAAATCCTGCAACTAGACCTCAGTTTAGTCAATTCAAGACTTCTCAGATCCACATAACCAGTTTTTGTTTCCAGAAGCATAGATAGGACTAGAATAGAAGGAAAATCAGATTTCTGTATTTCAGAAAATATAGGGCGTATGGTTCCTGCAACTTTTTGACAACAATGTGTAATTTAAATCATAATTTCTTTTCTTTAGTAAATTAAGCTTAGAACCATAAAATTCATTTTAAATCACCTACAACCCTTCTCTTTATTTTTCTATTTAAAATACCGAATTTTTTCAAATAATACCTGATGACTAGGATCCAACTAAGCAAGTTACCTAATATAACTTAAAATCTGGTTTATTGTATTTTTCGAATTCCAAAACTACCTCTATTTATAAGTTAATATGTTATTGGGGGGTGTAACTTGACACATGTTGAATTTGGAAATATCTCCAAATGGTTGTAATGGATGTAGGAATTAATTTAGAAACTTATTTGAAATTAAATATTAAATTCAACATTAACATATTAGTAATCTATAGATGATTAACGCTTTGGTTTATTTAATATAAAAAATTATGTTGTTTTCCTTTTATGAATTATACGACTAGTAATCTATTTTATTATATTTTTATGAATAATAGTGTACATTCTAATTATGTTGAAAAATAATTTGATAATCTATTTATTGTTTGTTTTTTTGAAAAACATTTTTTTAAATGAACCTCTTCTCTAAATAACGTACCTATTTTTTACTCTAAATAATGTACCTTTTTTTTCTCTAAATAAAGCACATATTTACTTGTTTTATGAAAAATAATTTGATCATCTTTTTATTGTTTGTTTTATGAAAACAATTTTTTTTTTAAATGAACCCATTTTTTTTCCTAATAATGTACCTAGTATAATGAACCTATTTTTACGCTAAATTTTGTATCTATTTTTTTCTTTAAATAATGTACCTATTAATTTTTTATGAAAAATAATTTGATAATCTATTTATTTTTTGTTTTATGAATTTTATTCCCCTAAATAATGTACCTATTTTTCTCTCTAATAATGTACACCTAGTAAAACAATTTACCTAGTATAATGGGGTGATTGATATTGTCAAACTCAAAAGAAATGGGGTGATTGATATGCTATTAATAGAGAGTTTTAATTATAATTATGGCAGTTAATGAAATGCTTGGAATAAATTATAAATAAAATATGAAGTCTGATGGCAACGAATTAAAAACGTAAGAATACTATGATATCTTATATCCTACTGGTCATTTAAGTGTGAAATTGGGTTTTACACATAGATTTATAGAATAATTGGTATATGTCTAGGAAATAGAAATTGTAGGGACCTATATTGGACAAACCCTAATTTCTTCTTTACAAACATATATGGATTGTTTTAGTTATGATGTGTATTCAAATTCAGTTTCTTGCTCCGAAAGTTAATCTACGAAACCATGTTGGTCTCCACACATTTGTGCCACCCTGCTTTCCCTAAGAAATTGATCTCTTATCTTATCAACCAGGCTATTAGCCAACAGTTAGAAATTTTCTGTTAATTTAAGGTGCAGCACGTACCGAAACATCGAAAGCAAATGCGGCCTCCATGGTCAAGTTGCATCAGTCAAGGTCATGGGATAGTGGCCACATGCTAATGGGGCTATCACTTATCATTAGCTTGAAAACTACGTTGAGCAACTTTCTAGGAATCTATACGAAATAAGTGATGGCTTGAGATGCACATACGCCCTCCTAGCAATCGATGTTTCGAATCCTTATCACGCACAGTCTGTCTCCATTAGAAATCCAAATCTCTTGATTCCCTCATCTCTTTCAGTGTGGTCCTTTCCTACAAGTTGGAGAGAGAGTGGTTAAGCTTGGACTCTATATATATGTTGGTCCTGAGCCTAATTTTATGCTTACTGTTTCTATATTTGGGTTGGTTGATGGAGAGAGTATCCAAAATATCATTCAGTTTAAGCCCTTTAATATGAAATTGGGAATCTACTACTCAATAGTGAGGGACAATAGTCCACCACCGATACCTTTCTCTTGTTGGTCCTAAGTTGGCCGCAAAGCATAGAAATCATCTTTTTGATGGAATCTTTTATTAAAAAGAAGAATTGTGGAAATAGAGATTTAAATTGATGATTTGTTTATTGGAAGGATTTTATGAATGTATATGCATGGAAAGTTCTGCTTGTGTGAATGATGTGGTCTAAAAAACACTTACGGTGTGTTTACTGATTAGGAATTGAATTCCAATTAAATAGAATTTCTGTGTTTAATTCACATTAATGAATTAAAAAGTAAGTGGGGCTCACAC